GATATGTTTATCATATAGTTATCTACATTTGATGGCGATAACTTTATTTTTTTTAGAGGAGTTTAAGAACTGTTTACACTCGACATTCTAAATTTAAATTTAAATTCCATGTTAAGAAATGAAACAATTTTAAACATAAGTAGTAATTTATTTTAATTTTGTTGTAAAACAAAAATAAAATAAAAGGAGTAATTCACCTATTTTGTAGAAAATTGCTCAACAGACATTGTCGAAAACGTAGGAAAACTAGTTAATGAAGTGCAACTTAGCAATTGTTTGGTAATTGAGGATGTATCGTGCAACAATGGTGTCACTAAAAATGTTAGAGAGTCTATCGAGGGTAATGTACTAGGCGAATTGTAGGATTCTTGCAAATCAGATGAAACTATTCTCTATAAATAATAATGATCTATAATCTAAATCTATATAATCTACATCATCATCATCATCATCATCAGAATAAATCTACATCATATAAATAGTTTTGTACCAACTTATAATTTTCTAAAATTCAATATAAGTACTGATTACTGCCAAAAATTGAAAAGAACACTAGGTATTATAATAAAAATTACATATTTTTTGAGAAAATAATATAAAAATACTTTTTTGGACTATTTTGAACTAGATTACACTATCTTCTCTTTGTTATATATATACGTATATATATATATATATATATATATATATATATATATATATATATATATATATATATATATATATATATATATATATATATATATATATATATATATATATATATATATATATGTATATATATATGTATATATATATATATATATATATATATATATATATATATATATATATATATATATATATTTATATATATATATATATACACAATTAACGTAATATCAGGTTTGTTGTATGGTTGGAAACTGCTGTTTTTCACATCTAGGTAATTAACAATTTTCATATTAGATTGGATAGAAATACTAAGGCTGTTTTGCTTAAATATTTAGATATTTAACAGAAATATTCCGAGTGTTGGATCAATTATTAATTCACACAACCCTAAAATATTACGCAACAAACTTACTGCTAGTGTCACCAACTGCAACTGTATTAAAAACCTTCATGCCCTTTAAATAATCAATGCTTATCTAAAAATGTGTGTATAAAGCCACTATATCTTTAGCTAACCCTATTAATTCCGAAAAATCATATATTGGTATCAGTGAAAGCTCATTCAAGCTTAGGTTTGAAAACCATATAAAATCATTTAACGCTATTAGATACAAAAACGATACAAAACTTTCTAAAGAAATATTATGTTGTTAGTCAAGTGGAACATAATTAAAAAGTGTCATTCATATAATGCATCAACTAAAAGATGTAATCTTTGTCTATATGAAAAATACTTAATTATGACTCATGATCAAGGATCATTATTTAATAAAAAAGTGAGTTGGTTTCTCCATGGAGGCATAGAAAAAAATTTCTGCTTTTACAATTCGAAACCGGAGATTAGGATCTCATGAGATCGTCCGACATAAACTTGACGTCGAATACTATTGCAACGCTAAAAAATTGTATTTTTTAACGGTTTTTATTTTTTAAATTTTGAATAATATGGCTGAATGATTGCTGATAAGCAATCATTCAGCCATTTCAAAAAAAGTCATAATTTTTATGATGATGCGTGTTGAACAATATTACATTTGCCATTAGTAACTAAAGAAACTGTTGTTACAAATAGCGCAGAAAAATGTTGATCGCCTTTTGCTTACTTTTCGGTTAATGTATAAGTTTTTTCAAATATGTCTAAAAATTTGCACTCTCCTTGAAAAGTTTTATAAACTTAACAATATAAACTTATTTCCACAAGTTCAAATTATTGTCATGGTGAAAAAAATATCAGCTAAGAAAAAAATACTGCTTATATCTACGCAAAATCATTTACTATTTATTGTTTATTTCAAATAAATAAATTTCTTAAATTAGTAGTTTAAAAAAAAAGAGATTCTGTGATTTTTAGAAAAAGAGAGAGTATAAAAAATATTAAGTCAAATCTCGTCAAGTCATAAAAACTGCTCTTTTTTTTCAAACAACTGATTTAAGAAATTATTTATTTGAAATAAACAATAAATAGTAAATGATTTTGCGTAGATCTAAGCAGTATTTTTTTCTAAGCTAATATTTTTTACACCATGACAACAATTTAAGCTTGTGGAGACAAGTTAAGTTTTTAAAATTTTTCAAGGAGAGTGTAAATTTTTAGATATATTTGAAGAAACTTATACATTTTCCAAAAAGTAAGTAAAAGGCGATCAAAATTTTTTTTCTGCGCTATTTGTAACAACAGTTTCTATAGTCATTAAAGGCAAATGCAATATTGTTCAACACGCAGCAGGATTTAGCAATTTATGATGAAAACTTAAAGTCATTGAGCTTGTATGGTCATACCACAACGTAAAAGACGGCCTTTATTTTAGGGATTTAAAATGCACATTAAATCCTGAAATTATAAGATTACGTGTGGAAAATGATCGATGTATCACATGCATTTTTAAAATACAAGACTTTATTTTAAAAGGTGGTTGTTAAACCAGGTTTCAAAGTCTTGTATTTTGAAAGTTCATAACCTTCCAAATGAAACTTGGAAGGTTATGAACTCATTAACTTCTTTAGTTATTCCGAAGTCATTACAAAAAAATCATGCTTCAAGCATTAGTAAACAACGTATTACTGTTGTAAACAACAAAAGCATTAAAAAGGTTGTCTGTTCAAAACGTAGCAACTTTATTAACTCATGCAATCACTTAACCACAAATTCGTTCAACAATTTTACTGTTTATCTTTTTAACACAAGAAATCTTGCCAACAAACTTAACGATTTTTTTTTATATGTTAAGTGAAATAAACCTGCCTTAATTTGTGCTTGCAAAACTTTTTCAAATAATAAACTCCCGAACTCCATGGTCTGTCCAAAAAATTATTCCATTTATCGTAAAGACTGGTTACGAATTGACGGTGCCCTTACGGAAATATTCCATGGAAAACCCATGGAATTCCAAGTAAACCACGGTTTTCCCATGAAAAACGGGAATTCCATGGAATTTCCATGGGTAAATTTCATGAAAATTGAAATCCTATGGAATTTCCATGGGTGAACCATGTTTTTTTTTCATAGCTTAAGCTGCGCCATGGTTGTTACAAATGCGCTTTTAAAGATGGCGTCATAGCTCGTAGAGTTATGATTATTTTTAAATTAGAAAACAATACTTACTGCATTCTTCTGTTTTTCTGTGTTTAATAAGGCTATGAATTATATGTTTTTTATAATGCAATACATTTATATGTTTTAACTAAACATACAGACATAAACAACTAGATATATTTATCATATTATAATGCATTATAAAAGGGATTATTTTTAATTATATTTTATTATATATCATTTATGCATATACTTATTTTAACTGTTTCCAGTAGCTTTGCTTACTTTGCATAACTTGCAATAGTATAGCAAGTATGTCAAGTAAACCAGTTTGAATTTTAATGCCTACTTGGCAAATTATTTGCCAAATAATTATTATTTGGTTTACAACAAATAAATGTTTAGTTTTAATCTACATTAAATAACTAGTGTATTAATGTACATAGTGTAATTTAATGTACATTCAAACTAGTATAATTATTATTATAAAATTTATCGAACGTATTAAAGAAACTTATTTAAAATATTAATATACAAGCAGTATATTAGATAAGATTAGATAACTAAGATAATAAGATTAGATAACTAATGTACAAAAGATAACTAGTATGATCTTTTTTATTTTTTTTTTATAATAGCCTTAGATTACATAAAAATGCTTGAAGTTTATTGTATCGTAAATGTTCATTAAGTATTAAAAAACATTTTTTTATGATAAATGTTCTATTCAATTTTAGTTCTGTTAAGTTGTTTTTGTCTTTTTGTTGTAGTTTTTTCTTTAGAATTATTAGAATATGTAAATAATGTAATATAAATAATGTTTATAAATTCTTTTATATTTACTTTATTATTTCATTTAAATTACTACATTATAAGCCAACAGGTTTGACTGGCAATATAAATAATGTTGTTCATCGTTTATATTGTTTATAACATCGTCAGTTTTTATATGCATTTAATATTTTTAAAAATAGTTCAAAAGCTGTCAAAATAAAATGGTGAATTGAGTTTAAACCAGAAAAGATATAAACGTAATCTTTGGGATTCAACTTGTAAGGATGTTCCAAGAACCACTTAGTTGGAGAAGGAAAACTGTGGTAATATTTTATAAGTATCAGTAAGGGAATTTACTTAATGCACAAGATTTTACTTCATAGTTAAATATAAGCATATAAAAGCAATGTTTATAAATAATACACTATTATTTATTATAATACAATTATTTTTATTTAGTTATATTTAACTGATGTAAAGTGCTCGTCTTTAGTTAAAATAAATTAATTTTTGCACACACTTTGATATTTACTATGCTTTTACATTACTATACTTTATAAATTACATATTTGTTATGTTTTAAATAGTGAAGTAAAAATATAATAAATTTTTGAATTTAATGGTATGTGCGTAAGTTCTTTTATTTTAACTTTATCATTTTATTTAAATTACTGCATTATAAGCAGGTAAGTTTGACTGACAATATAAATAATGTTGTACATCATGCAGACAGCTCAGACAAAGAAGTAAGTTTTTACTTAAAATTACAATTTATAAGTTATACTATATTTTTTGCTGCCTTATTCTATATAAATGTTACTAACATGCAGGTAAAATTTATATATGTGTAAAAATCTTTTCATTTTAACCTTATCATTTCATTTAAATATAAATTTTTAATTTATTTATTTAGCCGTTCATTAACAAATCCTGTGCTTTATAATATATTAAAAAATGGAAGGACGTGAAGAAAACAGGTTTGTAAATGATGTTGTACATCATGCAGATAGCTCAGAAGAAGAAGTAAGTTTTTTTGTTAATTACAAAAGTAAATATATAATATAATATTTGTTGCTGCCTTGTTCTATATAAATGTTTCTAACATGCAGGTAACATTTATATATGTATTAGTTTGAATAAATCATTTTAATAAAGTTACATTATAGGCAGGAATGTTTGACTGGAAATATAAACGATGTTGTACATAATGCAGATAGCTTAGGCAAAAAAGAGGTAACAATCTAATAATTTGCATTTATAAATAATGATATATTCATTGCTACTTTTTTCTATATACCTAACATTTGGCAACATTCATAATTGTGTATAATGCCTAATTATAAAGTAAGTTATAATAGATAATAATTATAAGTAAAATGAATTAGTAAATAAAGAAAACTAGTTAGAATGTATATAATAGTTGTATGATGTATTGTCTAGATTGGTGAAATGGAGAATGAGACTAACTAGGGTGAAAAAAAATGAATATTAATATGTGAATGGTACTTTGTTTAACATCTACCTGTTTCTACAGATACAGTACAGACGCATTTTTAAATAGGCTTGATGTTTTTTTGAATTAAATATGTTGTATTGATGGTTCTTTTTAACTTGTTAAAACTTGAAGTTATTATCAAATTTATATATACTATTTTTATCAAATAGTTAATATAAAATAATAAACATGTAAATTGTTTTATTTTTTGTAAAAATTGTTTTCTTGATAAATTTCAATTGTTTATCACTATGTATATCACTTATAGTATTATATTACTTGTAATTTTTTGTTTTATTTATTTTCAGTATGTTATACATATGCATGCATTAAATATTGTGTGGAAGTCAAGTTTTGATGTTTTAGGTGCATTATAGCTATTATTTTTCAAAGATTTGTAGGATTTAACAAGATTTAAATTTTATTTTGTTTATTGATTTTATTTGAAGAAAGCGATCTCATAGATTAAGAGAACTCAATAATAGTGGGATAAAATTTGCTTTTATGATTTAATATGACAATTCAAATAACATTAGATAAAAAACTTGAAAACAAATCATGCTTTTTTACCATAAAAAATCCATAAGTTTTCATTGGAAAGGTGTTCCTAATACCTATGGAAATTCCATGGTTTTTCCATGGATGGAAAATCATTGAATATCCATGGTATTTGGAACACTTTTCCATGAAAAACTTAAAGATTTTTCATGGGAAATTCATGTGTTTTTCATGGAAAACTCATGGTTTTTCCATGGAAAACTCATGGTTTTTCCATGGAAAACTCGTGGTTTTTCCATGGAAAACTCATGGTTTTTCCATGGAAAACTCATGTTTTTTCTATGGAAAACTCATGGTTTTTCCATGGAAAATTCATGGTTTTTCCATGGAAAACTCATGGTTTTTCCATGGAAAACTCATGGTTTTTCCATGGAAAACTCATGGTTTTTTCATGGAAAACTCATGGTTTTTTCATGGGAACGTGTTCCAAATACCCATGGTTTTTCCATGGGTTTTTTTTCTAAAATTCCCACGGGAAATTTTCGTACGGGTGGTGTAGCTATATACTGCAAAAATGACGTTAAATCCGCCATAGTAAGTATTACTTAAACTGACAAAGGTATTGACATCATTTGTGTTGATTTAATTTTTGGGTCTAGTAAACTCCGCTTATTTACTTGTTACCACCCACCGTTCTATTCTCTTGATGATTATATCTATCTTGAATCAATGGTTTTTGATAATTAGCAATCTCTGTGAATCTGTTCCTCAATTTATTATTGTCGGAGATTTCAACTTACCGAAAATTGATTCGGTTAACTACGTTTCGCCAATTGAGAAATGTCATAATCTTTTTTAATTTTGGTAAATAATCTTGGTATGTACCAATATGTACTGGAGCCCACTCGAGAAAATAATATTCTTGATCTTGTTCTTTCAAATATCATTTCCCTATTAAGTAATATTTCTGTTAAGTGTCCATTTAGTACAAGCGACCATAATTTAGTCTTTTTTTATATAAACACCTTTAATTATTATTAACCCGAAACAAACTATGAATATTTTTACGATTTTAAAAATACAGATGTAATTGCTTTTAATTCTTATTTATCAAAAAAAAGTTGGGACTTCGATTTTTCTTTTGTTTTTACAACTGACGAGTATTGAAACATCTTTTCTAATCATCTTCGTAAAGGTTTTGTTTTGTTCCAATCAGAACAATATACCATAGCAAAAAAAGTCGTTCTTATCCAAAATATATTTATAAAATGCTAATTTGCAAACCTTTTTTATGGAAAAGATGGTCAATCACAAAGACCAACTTGCACAAAAAGGCATTTATCCAATATGCATCAAAATGTAAAAAAGCCATATCCACACTCCACAAAAATGTGGAAATAAAACTAGTCAAAGTAAATAACTTAAGTAAGTTTTTTAGTTATGTAAACAAAAGTCTAAACAACCCCAAAAAAATATATCCCCTAAAAACAAAAAGCAACTTTAATAATACCAAAGTTAAAATTGCGGAAGTGTTTAACAAACACTTTGAAAGTGTTTTTACCGTAGATGACGGAATTTTGCCTAAAATAAATACTTTTGTTAGTTAACATATTAAGATGAATTTCGTAGATTTTTCAGAAAAGATAGTTTGTCAAAAACTAAAAAATTTAAAACCTAGCACATCATTTGGACCTGACGGTATACTAAATATACTTTTAAAACAGTTAGCACATAAGCTACGGTTTTCCCTATTTTTAAAAAAGGATCTACTTCAGATGCGAACATTTATAGACCTATCTCCCTCACATGTATTAGCTGTCGTGTCATGGAAAGTATTGTTAGTTCAAGTATCGCTGATTATCTTAATATAAATAATCTAATAACACCTAATCAACACGGCTTTTTATCCTAAAGATTTACGTGCACAAATCTTCTAGAGTCAACTAATGACTGGAATAAAAATAATAAATTTAATTACTGACGTGGTACACTTTGACTTTCAAAAAGCATTTGACTCTGTACCTATCCAAATATTTTTAAGAAACTTGCAATGTACGGCATAATAGATAATCTGCTTCATTGGATATCAGCATTTCTTTATAACAGATATCAAAGGGTTCTGGTTGATAATTCACTATCTAATCCAACCAGCATCCTAAGTGGAGTTCCACAGGGTAGCGTTTTGGGTCCAACGTTATTCTTGTTATATATTACTGATCTGCCCTCTATAGTAAAAGATCTTATTTGCTCTCTAATTTTATATGCTGATGATATCAAGTTATATAGTTCTTTTAAGGATGCCGATTACAGTCACGATCTTGCTGTAGCCATTTATAAAGTTTATCTTTGGTCAAAAAAATGGCAATTAAAAATAGCCAATAATAAGTGCTTTACTCATAGAATAGCATCTACTTCATTTTGTAAAGTTATAAATTACAACTATCAATTAGGCGATCATAATTTAACTTGGTCTACAAACCCAAAAGATCTTGGTGTGACCATGGATTCTTACTTAAATTACAGTAATCATATTTCAAATATCGTCCGCGCATCCAAAATTCGAAGATATCTAATACTTAAGTGTTTTAAAAGTCGTGATCCGCGTGTTATAAGACCGATCTTAGAATATTGCTCTCCGGTTTGGTCGCCAAATCGCACTGAAATGAACAATGCAGTGGAAAGAGTACAAAGACGTTTTACCAAGAGAATTTCTAACCTAAATAATGTTTCATATTCAAGTAGACTTAGTATTCTTCGTTTGGAACTACTAGAAATTCGTCGCCTAAAGCAAGACATGATTACATGATACAAAATTCTGAACAATTTAGTTTGCATAAATAAATCAAGTTTTTTTTTATTTAACAACTATATTTACACTCGAGGACATATTTTCAAGTTACGCAAACTAAAATGTAAACTCGATGTCCGTAAACACTTTTTCTCACTCAGATTTGTTAATATTTGGAATAACTTGCCGTCTGACGTCGTGAATGCCAAAAATATAAAGAGCTTCAAAATTAATATTAACGCTATCGACTTTGAAAAATACTGTTCCGGCTAACTTGTTTTGTGTTTGCATTTGCATTATGGGCACGTTGTCAGAACCCTTCATGTTTTATGGACCTGCGTGTCCTTTAGAACATGTATCACTGTTCTAATAAGTTTTAATCTAATCTAATCTAATCTAAATTGCAGAAACAATAGCTAATATAATTTTAAAAGTGATTAACTTTTACAATATGCAAGATAATGTTATTGGATTTTCAGTAGATAACGCAGCTGTAAACTTTGGTGCTTTATCAACTAATAAAACTGCAGGTAACATCAATGTAAAGCTTGAAAAGAATTTACAGAGAGCAAATCACGTGTAATTTCAATAAATATTGAAGATAAAATGCTAAAGATATATATCAACAGTTTAATATATTTAAATAGAAGTAAAAAAAAATGTGACTTTTGTTGTAGTAAAATTTTATACCACAATAATTGGTTATTTGAAAAATTGGATTGGAAGATTTTGTAATGAAGTATGGAATATAAATATAAAGTACCTTATGTTAAAAAAGAATTTTTCTGATGACAAGTTTTAGTAAGCTTACATATATTTTCTTATTCGAACTAAATCATTGCCTACTCCTATTATTAGTGATAATGAGATTTTTGATTAAATACCCATTAATGAACATACACCCATTAGTGATTTTTTCGTTCATTTAGTCGGCAAATTTTACCCTTTTTGGTCAGTCACTCGGTAATTGTTTAGACGAGTAGGTCAGTAAATTTAGACAGTCAGTTGGTAAATGTTGTTAATGCAGTTAAAAAAATTTAAAAAACGAGGAAATTTTTGTTTTAATGGGCAAAGGTTGTATTGCATCCCCCGCCTTCCTGCGTGACATCAACTCGTGACGGCCCTGATTGGAAATATACTCTTTTTATTTTAAAAAAAATCTGGTCACCCTATATATATATATATATATATATATATATATATATATATATATATATATATATATATATATATATATATATATATATATATATATATATATATATATATATATATATATATATATATGTATATATATATATATATATTTAAATTTGACCAGTTTTGTATTTCTTATCATGGTCCTTCTTTTTGGAATAAAATAATTTTAGCTAATTTTGATCTTTCTTTGGTTTTATTCTTCTTTTAAACGGAAATTAAAAGAAATTATCTTTTCAACACAAAATATTTATATCTATTTTTAGTATTTAAGTTGTCTTTTTATTTATTTTGATTTATACATTATTTTTATAGAACATTGTATTCTTTTTGTTATATAGATTGTAAAGGACTTCATGATAAGATCCTGTGATCTTCTAGAGGTCCTGCCGGTATAATATTCAGTGTAAATTTACCTTGTACATATTCTGGCAAATAAAAAAAATAAATAGCAATAATAACAATAATAATAAAAATAATAACAATAATAACATATATATATATATATATATATATATATATATATATATATATATATATATATATATATATATATATATATATATATATATATA